CTTGTAAATTAGGCAACAGAGCAGACCAATCTATTCTCTGAACAACATGGACTTGAACTATGGGAAAAATAACCAGACTTCTAAGGTGCTAAGGAGCTAAGGCTCCTGGCATTTCTTTATTACTATGTACCCATTTAGGAATTCTTTCTATTTTATTAATAGTTCTACTCTGCCCAAGCATGTCAAAAAATTATTCTTTTCTACTGCATGTTATATTTAAAAGCATCTCAATTGTTTACCTATGGAAACTGACAGGCTTTCAAGTGGTATTTCTAGTGATAAAAAAGTTGTTGCCTTTGCTCTCCAGAATATTATTAAACTAAGTTTAGGAAATTATATTCACAAGGGCTCCTGCCAGTACTTTTTTATTAAAACTGGGAATTATCCACTATTTGGGCCATGGTAAGAATTTAATCTTCAGTGCTTATAATTTAGAGTTAGTTGTTTCCTTATGTTTCCTCCCTGCATTCCATCCAAAAAAGATTTGTTTGTTATACTATTTTCATGGCTGGTGAGATTTAAAAACCACTATCTATCTCCTGCAATGAAATAGAGTTTATCTTCCCCTGTAAATTCAATACCGATAAAATTTAATCTGTTTGGCCCTTGTTCAAAGTTCAAAGGAATCCAAAGTAGCTGCATTTATTTAGCTAGAGTAAATCCCATGCTTGGGTTGAAAAGGACCTTAAAGCCCACACAGTCCCAACCCTCTGCCATGGACAGGGCTGTCCCCCACCAGCTCAGGCTGCCCCATCCAACCTGGCCTTGAGCACCTCCAAGGGTGTGGCATCCACAGCTTCTCTGGGCAGCCCGTGCCAGTGCCTCACCACCCTCTAAGTATAAAAGTTCCTTCTAATATCTGTCTTTAGATGTTCCAGCCCTCTGAGCATTTTTTCACTTTGTGACCTTCTCTGGACCTGCTCCAGATCTGAAATTATTCCAGAGCTATGCTGAGTATATCATAAATCTATGAATTCAGCAGAACCAGATTTTCTTTTCTGTTTTGACAACCTCTCATTTCAGTGCATATGTGTATAGGACTATTTCTGGATATTGACATCTAGTATGGTCTGACAGATACATTGGTTTGATTCTGGCTATAGCTACTTGCAATGCTCTTTCATTTCCTTATGCTTATAAACTAGACTGAAAATTTAAGGGAAGTTACCATTACACTTACCTAAGGCAATATATTAGTCAGTATGTCTCTTAAAAAAACGTAGAAATTATTAATCAAATGGAATGAAATATTTATCACAGTTTTTACCTACTGGAAGGAAAAAGCTGTTGCTGGGGTGTCCTGGCACTTCCTCATGATTTAATCATAATTGCTGATTTCTAAATGGTTGCAAATGTTTGTCCAAAGCTCAGATTAAAGAATGTCAGAGAGCAACATCAAGGATCTTATGAGAAGATGGGGAACAATCCGTAGATGTTCCGCTGAAAATCTCCATGTTGCAAGTCATTTCTGAGTTTGTGTGCTCATTCCCTATTCTTGGCTGTGGCCTCCAAGCTTCCATTAATGCAACTTAAGAGTAAGTGTGTGCTCTGGTAGGATTTAATTAGGTTTTCTTCAGAAGTCAGACAGAGTAGCTAGAAGCTTTTACATATTTCATATTTTTGGAGTTTTGACGTGAATCAGCTTGGGTTACAGGAAGAGCAGTTGAGGCTTCAAAGGGTGCACCACGCTAAAAAGTAATGACTATATTGTTAGAGGATGTATGGGAAGTGCTGTGTCACAGCCTGAACCTCTGATTGATCACCTGAGATGAGCAATGAGTCAGCCACAGGAGCACAGGTGAAGGCAATTCACCTGTACTGCTGGAAGGGGTGGAGCCTGGCTCCATCTCTCCTAGACCCATTTAAGAGCTGACTGCCAGTGGGAAAGGAGTTCTTCTCCACTCTGCTGGAGTTAAGTGAGCCTAGGGTATGGCCTAGGATACCGGTAAGCTTTCTATCTACTTTCTATCTATTCTCTTTTTGTTATTGTAATCTGCTTTGCCTAACTCTCTTGTTTATTTTGTAATTACAACATCTTAATGTTCATTGATTATACAGAGGAATAGCGCAAGTTTGTCTGGAAAATATCTGTTGTACTACAACAACTGGCATACAAACCTGGGAAGCCCTTTAAGTAGACCTGGCATATGTGCCAGAAACTGTGAACAAATGTGAAAGCATTTGTTTGGAAACCAAGGGGATGCTGGGCAGTAACATACGAAAATAAAGGACCAATATGTACCTGATGTTCACTAATATTAAGAAAAAAATCCTGGCCCAGAATCGTTCCTTAGCCCCTTACCCTTGCCCATTCACTACTATTTGTCTTCTTGAGTACTTTTCACTGTGGATTACATAAGGACCAGAAATAGAATCTATTTATAGAGCAAGAGTTAAAGGGAAAGAGGGGAAAACAGTGTAAGGAAATTGAGCCTCAGCTTGGTCTCTTGGAATATTTGAAATATTAGTCTTAAAACATAGGCAAATAGTGTCAGTATGACTCTTTATTCAATTATTCAGGAGACGATATCCCAGCCAGACTCTCAAGCCCTTTGCTAGTTCAGGTTCTCTTGCTAGCAGTTTCACTTTCTTGGCTCTGGAGAAGTAGTGACTGCTGCTGGCCAAGATAGCCTAATAGTTTGAGGAAGGGGAGGTTATTTCATCTCATGAAAGTCTGCTTCAATTCAGTGTTAGCAACAGATCCTGCTGTAGGGTGCAGCAACTAGGCACAATTATTTGCCAAACCTGGTTTTTGTTTTTCCTTATACAAGCAAAAACTCCTGGCTTGTTGGCAGGCTTTGGCTCAGCTTCCCAACGTTCATTCAAAGCATCGTCAACTCTCTTCTTAAACATCAGAAATGCCATGGCAAGTTCTGGAAAGCAATTCCAAGGCAGACCATTTTTCCAGGGGGTGAGATGAAGGGCAAAAGCCAGTTGTGAGATAAGCAGGTGAATTGATAAGTTTGAAAGTAGCATTTCTTTCAGTTGTAGTTGTATTTCAAGGAGAACCAGATACCATTCTATGGTTTTGGATAAAATGAGCCCCAAAACTTTCCCATCTTCTTCAGGACTTTGTCCAATTTTTGTAGCTCTTTTCATTTTCAAGTATTTTGCCTTTTTCATCATTTAACGTGATAGCTAGTGGAAGACTTTGTGGACTCCCTGGATACATGAGATTCTGAGATTCTTTTTTTGTCCTTCCAGTTCTGCTGCAAGCTAGTCTTAGGGAAAGTGCTATCATCAGGTACAGTTTCTACAAGTAGAAAATAGGAACTTTCCTCCAGAAGGCATTTGAAGAGCTAGGAATGATGTGTGCTGTAACTGTTGTGGAAACAGCATTCGTCCTCTTCATTCGTACAATTGCTCTTTGTCATTGCAGTGCTGGATATTAGCCTTGTAACTAACATCAGAACTTGAATGATGAAGTCTCATACCTTTGTCCTCACCATGCCTTTCTAACACTTCCTCACTGTTTCTGTACTTTGACAAAGTCTCCTTGGTTTGCCTTCAAATTACCTTACTTTATGTATAGTTAGATTTCTGGGATGAGCTGTTAAAGACTTGCAGGGTATTAAATACTCTCGGCCAGTATTTGAGACTCCATGAATTACTGTAATAAAAGTAGAGTTTAATGAATAAAAAAAATTTTGTCATGGACATTTATAATATATTGTTTATAGATACCTTTAAAAGGAAATACAAGCCTGTTAAGTAATAATGTAACTTTCTCACCTGTCACTTTTCCATTTTTTACATGTGAAGAAGGAAACAATGTTCTTGGTGCTTAATTCTTTGCCTTAGACTGATGTTAGCCATTATGCTTAGGATAGCTCGTTCTTTTGGTACATCTCCTGAAGAGTAAGCAGGGTTATTCACACATAATTAAGTGGTCAAGGACTAACGTTTGTCCTATAAAAGAGATTCATTTGGTTTAATAAGCAGCTATTAGATGGATGCTTCCTGAATCAGTGAATAATCCCTTTAATTTTTTCATGACTGCAATGAGCTGAAGCTCATCATCTCATCATAAATCATGGACCTGCAGAGATCTGCTCTACTAAAAAGTCTGCAATTAGAGGAAAATAGTCTGCTTCTAACAGGAGATCTAACTGGTTCTATGAGGTTTCCCTACCCAAGAGACAAAATCCTTCCTCCATCCTCTGATTCAATGGTTGACAATTGAACTACTTGGAAAGTTAGTCCTTGAAATCACATGCCTTGCCAAGATCATATGGTAAAGCCTTTAAAACTATATTTATTACTATGAATAGTTTATTGCATTTGTACTTGCAGCAATAATTTCTCATTAAATGCTGAATCAATTTCCATTTGACTTTTTTTTTTTTTATTTGAATCAGTATTAGAAGCATAGGCTGACAAAAAGGCAGAATAATTATGTGAAAAGCAATTCCAATTGAAAGAACCATTGAAATACTATCATGAAACAAGAGTCAGAGTGATGCTTATTGTTCCTAGTCTGCTAACTGCACTGGAAAAATATAGGGCTGAACAAAGGACATTCCCAAAACTTTTGCTTGTCTCTAGACTGACAATTCATAGATCTCTCTCATTTTTCATTGAATTTGCTCATCCTACTCCTACACAAGTCGGTCGTTTGGCTTCCTGGAATTCAGATGGCCCCAAACACCATAGGACAAGTACAACAAATGTTGTCTGATTCCATGCTATACAAATGATGACATTCCCCACTCCTTCCAAGGTTGCTGGACTCCTGGAAATTCTGTAGTATCCCCTTCCATGGATTTTCTTCTGTGGAGGAAAACTGCTCTTAATTTACCCACTCATTTCACTTTGGTTCTCAGCTTTTAAGATACATTTCTCTACAGAAGATAGTTAAGCTCTGTGCATGAGGACAGGGGATCTGGGCATATGTACTGCAGAAGATGGTGCGGCTCACTCTGCAAATCTCTGTATGAGCCAGAGGCACTGTACGGCAGAGTGTGTGCGAGGGTAACGTGAATAATTCTGTTCTCTTTCAGAGGCTCCTGCTTAGAAAGGATCAGAACTCAAGAGAAGTCTGGATGACCTTACAGATCCATTAGGGTACTGTCCTAGGGAAGAAATGGGTCTCATGCTGTGCTCTGAAAGCTGCAAACAGGAAATTTATTGTGCTGATGCCACTATTGAGTGCCAAAAATAGCTATGGACACTTGAATTGGTGAGAATAACTTTTTCCATGAATAATGTAGTGCCCTATCTTTACAAAGCTGCTGCTGGCTATCTCCCCAGTACACATTTCCAAAGTATCTATGCTCTCACTTACCAAATTTCACCATGCATAAGAATGCATGAAATGCTTTGGAATGTGCTGTTGGTATTGTGACTTCAGGGGTTTATGTAGTTTATCAGTATTTAGGGGATAAGAAATACTGTTTCATTGCATTGATCAGATTTTCTTTAGGTACTTCTGGGCAAACAGGCCATAATGTCCAGGGCTATTTAGAAAGCTTTAGAATTGCTCTTACTCCTTAAATGAATTCTCAGAGTAGCATTAGCGCATGGGCATTTTAGTGCTGAGGTGAGTCAGGCAGTTTACTTTGAATATGTGATGAAATACAGTCTCAAAGCAAGTCTCAAATACCAAATCTATTCTGAATCAGGAGGTGATGCTACTGATACCTGGGAAGGGGGCTTTTCCAGAGAGGATCTCTCTTGCTGGGCTTTTGTCGCATGGATTCAACTATACTATACACTTTACTTGTAAGAGAGAAGCAGGAATATATTGATAAAATATAATGCATTAGCAAAGCTTAGTCATGAGTAAGACAGCAGTTTAAGATTCAAAATGGTAATGGGCATTTCATTATTTACAGCATAAGTGCACTAATCCAAGACACCTTCCTATTGAATCATAAGGTTCAGTGTGGACCCCCTTGCTTTCTAAACTCCGTGAACCATAGAGCTGTAAGCAACGTAGGTGCAGCTGAATTCACTCCTAGTGCCAAACTTGATGAATTCTTATATGTCTGAGGAATTACATTTGCACAGTCAATCTTCGACTGAATCTTAACAAAGCTTAAAACTATGTCAGCTAAGAATCTGTATCAGCAAGGCATCCTGACACCAAGATGTAAGGGAATCTTGGTGCAGCTGTAACATCAAGAGATGTCCTCCTCAAGAGGAGAACCTGTCTTGTAGCCAGCTACCATACAGCAGAGAGCTCTTAGCTGGTCACTGTCCATTGGATAAGATGATTAGCTGATACAGTATTTAAGCACGGGCTCAATTGGCACCTCTTGAACTGAGTGTCTGCTATCAGTTCCTTGAGCACTGAGTTTGAGACAATATTGTGGAAGTCCTGAGCAAGGTCTTTGGGGTGTCACTATCTGTCTATACCCAAGGCCTTGGGAATAACAGCCAGGCTGAAGGAGGAAGCTCGGGGCAGAGAGAGCACACCACCGCAGCTTTGTATCACAGAAACTGTTCTGAACTGGACCTATGTCTGTAGAGCTGTATGTTGACTAAACAAGAAGGGCTGAACGAACAGTTTGAACATATGGTGCCAAGCTACAGTCTCCAAGATGGGGCCAAGCACAGTCAGGGGTGGAGAAGCTCCTGTTGCCAGCCAGCTGCCTGAGGGGGCTGTCCCATTAGGCCAGTGCAGTGCTCTTACAGCTGCTGTTCATCTTAGCAGATGATGCTGGGGGCACAGTGCACAGTACAGGTTTGTGTTTCAAGCTGCTAACTTATTTTCAAGAGATCTCAGTACAAGTGTGGCTACTTGACAATACTGAGATGTCAACCTTCTAAGCTAGCTTTTATAATGAATTATTAAATTAGCATAAAGCAGTGCTAAAAAAAGCTGCTCTTGGATTAAATACACGCAGCTGTTTAGTCTGTTTGTTATCCAGTTTTCCCTGTGGTATCTGGCAATCAGTATAAAAAGGCATCCTTGAAATTGAATTATTTCTAGGGCTGTTATTTGCAAGAGCATCTGGATGCTCGGGTAAAAAAGATGTAAAATGAACATTGCTTAGATATTGCAGTGCTTATTAAAAGATAATTGCTTTCTAGAGATGTGTTTCTGGTTGACATAATCTTGAAAAATCTTCAGAAGGCAATAGATGTAGAGAATAACACAGAGTATGTGACATAACATTTCCTCCCAAACTACTCTTGTATGTAGCAAGAGTACTGTTTTAGGTTACCAATTCCAACTAGTTTCCTTGGAATTTAGAGTTCAGTTTACATTCATGACTGCCCAAAGCTATCCTGAGGAATTGAAATAAAGGAGTAGCCAGACTTGAAAGCTGTTTCAGAAACTAAACAGAAAATATTAAGATACCTATGGCTTGTGCTTCTGTCACTTGCTATTATTAAACTCACATGGCCTCTGGTTTTGAAATCTTGGGATAACTTTTCCTCTACAGAGTGGTACCTTGAAATGTAAATGTGTTTCCTGAAATGCATTTTTTTTTTTGCCATTTCTGAGATACTCCTGATCTTATATTTATTTCTGCTTTCAAAACAAACAAACAAAAACCATGAAAACCAAACATGATCTTTGTCCTTACAGTAGCAGTTTAAAAACTAAAAAAAAAAAAAAAAAAAAAAAAGAAACCAGCCAACAGGCAAACTTTTCCATAACAGTGGAGCTGATGTAAATGCCGTAGTGCCCATTCAGAAATGAAAAGTTTTGAAGGCATTATGAGATAAAAGGCCTTTTTTTTTTTTTTTTTTTTTTTTGGTACACTTTAAAAATGCAATGGTCTCTGTACTAAAACAGGGCCAGCTGGCAGCAAGTGTGCAAGTGGCACACCATTGCTTCAACTCCTTTCCAGGGACAAACAGAGCACAGATAGACCTGGTCCTCACAAAGGGGGTACCCCTTGCAGTCCCTGCTATGCTGACCTGGTATCCAGGGACCATCCTATGAAGTGCCCCCTCTCAGGGAGGCAGGAGGCTCTGCCTTACTGAAGCACTCAGATGCTGTGAAGCCAGCATTCAGTGTATATTAACAACACAATTCGCTTGAAGGGTTCAGTTTTGAGCAGATCAGGGAGCAGTTGGCCAGCACGCTATATAGGAACTTGCACTGTGCTGTGAGCATCCCTAAAAGACCAATAGGGTTTCAAACATTAAAAAGCCACATGCTATTAGAAAACAAGGCATGACTGTTAACATTTTATAGAATACTCTCTTGACTGGGGAAGAGGTAACCGAAAGAAAAGATTCATAGCCTCTTTGCCTTTTGGAGGGCTGAGCCCTTATTTGATTTCAGCCAACTCAGTAGGTTTTTGTGTTGTAGTAAACTCTATATATTCTTCTAGGTCCATAGGAAGGTGATCTCTATGACCTCTAAGGTGACCTCTTAACTCTGCTCCTTGTCAGCAACTTCTTTGCTAACGTCTCCCCTTCCACTGCCTTGCTGTTCCCACCTCTATGGCACTCTTAGGTCTTTCTCTATGCAGCTCGCTTGCCTCTCAGAGGAGAATCATCCCTATTCCTTCCAGAGATTTCACATAATACTTTTCCTCTCCCTAAGGAAAGGACGAGGAATGCACAACCAACTACATACCATCTGCTAAAGCACTGAAACCACCATGGCTTCACTCAGGTTACATCAGAGTTGGCAGTGGGGCAGCTTGCAAGCTGTCCCCTTCTTTGCAGTGGGAGGCTGCCTACGCCACTGCTCTAACTGCTCTGTGTTCACTCAGCAAACTCAGCTGTTGTCCCCGAGACATGTAATCTTCTGAAGAAAGTGAAAATAATATGCAGGCATCTAGAAAAGAAACTGGAAGGAATAAGGCAAGCTTACTTGAATTGAGTGTAAAGGCTGACCTTGTTACCCTAAAAGAAAGTCCTGTGTCTTCCTCTTTTTGTCCTGTTTCACTGCAGCACTCAGGAGCATTGTTTGCTCACCCTGTGATCAGGGTAACCTTGATCCCAGCTAATGATACTGGTGATTCCTTTCACCACTTGTGTAACTCATTGTTTTTGAGGTCTGAATTGGAGACAGTAGTGTCTTTTCTAGATCCTACTGAACTCTGGGTGAGCAGAAGGGTGCTTCTGTTACACAGGTAGAGGGATAGGGCTGTCAGTGTCCTAGTCTTATCTGAGATGTCATGACAAAAGTCCTAGGACAGCTATTAACACGAGGCTTCATGTATTCCCATGGCTGATATTCCCTCAATCACCAGGAATTTCAGTGTATGTTTGAATTAGTTGGAAATATCCATTAACTCAAAGGAATTATAAGAGTGAAATTTGCACTTATATTATCTCTTTAAGGTCCAAAATATAGGAAACTCCCTTATTAGCGACTTGACTTGTTTGAGTTTTTTAGCCTAGATAAATATTACTTGTGTCAATCAAAAAAGGCAATGAAAACTCTGTAATCTCAAGTGATACTACTTGCAGTTTGTGAGTATGATGCACCTCTTCATGCATTATCTTGTGTACAGAAATGCAGTTAAGAATTTTTGATCCTCCATCATTTCTTCATAGATTTCCCCCTTGAGCTGATTCAGCTGCCTGTAAGTCAGAACTAGAGATTGGATTGCTGAGATCTGTGGAGCTTAAATTTTTTTTTTAAATCAAAACTATAATTTATTTTGTTTTTCAATATGGTGGAAATGAAACGATTAGTGTTTAACTTTGAGCAGCAAAGAGTACACAGGAGGCATGAAGTTCTGCTACCAAAGAAAAGGTGCTTAAAACTATTTGTGTTTATGAGTTTCCCTGATCTTAAAAGAGAGATGGAGGGAAAGACAGGTATGTAGCACAGCATGGTGCATGGTGTACTGGGTCACATCCAGACTCAATATCTTGTCTTGGGGAGGGTATCAAACTCTGAAGTCTTAAAAGGACTATAATCACTGCATTTCTAGTTATACCTCTCCATCGTATTCCCAGGTGTCTGGGTTAGGACTGGACATGCTTTCCAAGTTAACCCACAGAGACTTTTGAAAGGTCAAAATGATATATGGAAAGGCAGAAGTCAAAGTAACAAACCTTTCCCACCAGCTGCTTCAGTTTCAAACTGATGAAATGGAAGATAATGAACATTTCTGGATTGCTTATAATTAGTGTAGAAATTCTGATAGACTACCTCAGCAAATGCATCTCATTTCCAGCTTAACAGCATTTTGAAAGCTGTCACATACTTTCTTTTGAATGGCGACACCCCCTCTGAAACTGAAATGCGTGAAAATGCCT